TACTTCCCTCCTCCCACATTTTATGTTCTTGATATCATATCTAACTTCTTTCTTGTGCATGTGTATCCATTACCCTCTTATTATAGAAATAGGTAATTTTAGTTCTTTTGTCTTTTGACCTTCATATTAGCTTCATAGGTGGTTGATCTGCTACCTTTAATGTATATTTGCTTTTACCAGTGATTTTATTGTTTGGTGGGTTTTGTTTTTTTTTAAAATTTTCTTATTCCTGTTTGTGGTCTTTTCCACTAAAATAAGTCCCTATAATATTTCTTGTAGGGTTTATTTATTGCCAATAAATTCCTTTAGTTTTTGCTTGTCTGGAAACCTCTTTATCCCTCCTTCCATTCTGAAGGATAACCTTGCCAGGTAGAGTATTCTTGGCTGTAGGTTTTTTCCTTTCAGCACTTTATATATATCATGCCACTCCCTTCTAGCCTGTAAGGTTTCTGCTGAGAAGTCAGCTGATAGCCTTATGGGATTTCCTTTGTATGTCACTTCTTGCCTTTCTCCTGTAGCTTTTAGGAGTCTCTCTTTAATTTCTTGACATTTTAATTATAATGTGTCTTGGTGTGGACCTCATTGAATTTATCTTGTTTGGTGCTCTCTGTGCTTCCTGTACTTGGATATCTGTTTTCTTCCTTAGGTTAAGAAAGTTTTTGGGTATTATTTCTTCAAGTAGATTCTCCGCCCCTTTGTCTCTCTCTTCTTCTTCTGGCACACTATAATACAGATGTTAGTGCACTTGATGTTGTCCCAGAGTTCCCTTAGACGGTTCTTGTTGTTTTCAATTCTTTTTTCTTTTATCTGTTCAGCTTGGGTGACTTCCTTTACTCTTTTGTCCAGCTCACTGATCCACTTTTGTGTATCATCTACTCTGCTATTGAGTCCCTCTAGTGAATTTTTCATTTTCAGTATTGTATTCTTCATTTCTGATTGGTTCTTTTTTATATGTTCCATTCTTTGTTGAAGTTTTCCCTGAATTCATCCATTCTACTCCCAACATCAGTGAGTATCTGTATGAGTATTACTTTGTACTCTTTGTCAGGTAGATTGTTTATCTCTATTCTGTTTGCTTCTTTTTTGAGGATTTGTCCTGTTCCCTTACTTGGAACGTATTTCTTTGTCTCCCCTTTTGGCTCCTTCTTTGTACTTGTATCTATGTAATAGGTAGGTCAGCTATATCTCACAATCTTGGAGAAGTGGTTTGTAAGAGATGCCTTATGAGGTCCAGCAGGGTGCTTCCCTGTTGTCACCAGTTCCAAATATTCCAGAAGTGTCCCCTGTGGGGGCTATGTGTGTCCTTCTGTTGTGGTAGGGTTGCTCTTGCTGCAGGTGCCTGGGGAGTTTATGCTGTCCTCCTAGATGGCTGCTTGTAATGCTCAGCTGCATGCGGCTGCTATGGTTCCTTCATTCACTTTATTGGGTTTGGGGAGCCCCAGCCCAGTTGGCTGCAAGGTCTAAGAGCATATTCCTTTTGCAATTTTTCTGTTAAGTGAGTAGGCTGCAGCATGGCTGTTTTGTAGGCTCAGGGGCTTACAGTTGCTGTAGGCCTCTGGCCTGCTAGACTGTTGTCAGCTCTCTCAGGAGTGCAGCTGAGTGGGGCCAGTCCTAAGAATGGAGCACCCAATTGTTTCAGGTGTTGTAAGGTGGCACTGATGCCCTATGTGGCTGTTTGAGAAGCACAAGTCTGCTGCAGCTAATAAGTTCCACTGCCTGCAGGCCCACACCCCCCATCAACACAGGCCTGCCCCATGCAGACACCCTGACCTATTGAAGTGGGCACACTCACTTCACTGCAGAGGCCCCACACAGTCTGCCAATGCATACCCTGCCCCTTGCACACACCCTGCATCACAGAGGTGGACCTACTCACCCCGCAGCAGAGGTCCCACGCACCCCACCTCTGTGGGCCCACAGGTGGCCTGAGGGCTTGCTGTTGTGTGGGGCTGCCCACCCTGATCGTGCTGGATTAAATCAGTGCTCTTGTGGGTGGGGCAGACGGCTGCACTAACAGACATCTGCCCTCTGTGTCAGCATGCCTGCACTGTGTCACAAAGATGGCAGCTACCAATGTCTCAGTCCCTGGGGACATGGTCCCAGCCTGAGAGGTCTTGCCTCTGGGCCAGGTGCACCCAGAGCCTATCAAGTGATTCTCTCTTCACCAAAAGAACAGGTACCTTTCTTTCTGGTGATTTTAGTTTGCTTTCTGACATGGGTGAAATTGTGCATGGGCCCAAAAGAGAAGGCTTTTCTTTCTCTCAAGTCTCATAGCTTTTCTGGGAATATTCCCCTTATTGTTAATAGCCAGCAAAGGCAGATGTTATGATGCTCGTCTCAGTTATGCTGAGTCCAAAAGCTGATTATTGTGGAAAAGCTCTCCGACTCAGATCCCCTACTCCTCTAGGGAAAGCCCTGTCTGCCTGGAGCAGTAGGCACAGTGGTTTGGAGAGTCCTCCCTGCTGTGTGTTTGCTGGGGATGGACGGGGCTCCTCAGACCCGGGAGGTAGACTGGAGGGCACCAGGTCATTCTTTCTCATGTGGGTGATTGGCCCAGAGTGAGTCTCTGCAAAGAAGTCCAACAGACAGTGCTTGTCAGTGGCAGCACGTAGTAGGGCCCAGTGCGGAGGAGGGCTTTCCTATGAGTTCTGGCATCCAGGAGCTGCACCGTGGCTGGGAGGCCCTCTGTGTGGAATGGGCAAGACAGGCTGTGTGATGCAGGAGGACCCTGCAGGGCCAAGGCAGACCCCACTGTGCAGTGCAGGGACTTTCTGCCACCAGCCTTGTGGCTGCTGTGCCTCTGCTGTGATAAAGTTCCCCCTTGTCCTATCTTCCTGTCTCCTGGAGATAAACACCATAAATAGTGGATCGTAAATATGTGTGTACCTATCTCTGTGTCCTTTGCAGGGATATTTCTACATTAAAGGGATCGTGCACTACATAATACTTTCCAGCTCTCTGCACAGCATTCCGTCCATGGGGGAACCGAGGTTATTTCTTAGTCTCCCTTGATTGATATTCAGAGTGTTCCTAATAAGCTGATAATACAAGCCACACTGCTGTGAACATCCCCACAGTTCCCTCCCTGCGGGCCTGGGTCAGATTCCCTGGGATCAATACCAGAAGTAGAATTGCTGCATTAGGGGACACAGGTTAGAAGTTGCTCAGGGATGTCGCATTTCTCTCAGACTCTGTGCCAAGCAGCACCTGGTGTCCCCAGAACCTTTGCTCCCCAGGGCAGGGCCCGTCCATCTGTGTGGCCTTCTGGGTCTCATGGCAGTCCTTGCCCCTCCTCGCTGCTCAGCTGCCACCCAACCTTCTCAGGGGCTGCCTGCCTTCCCAGCTCCTCTGTCTGGAGCCCCAGGAGCCTGGGGTGTCACTTTTCTTCCGGAGGCAAAGCTTTCCTTTCCAGAAGCATTGGTCTCCCTTCCGGGGCAGCCCGTCCTTCTGCCCCCTGAGAGCTGGTGGGCAGTGGGGCTGGACGTGGGCCATGCCACTCCCTGCACGCCACTTTTAGTCCCTCCTGTGGCTGCATTTCCTTGCTGTGCTTGTTATTGATGGAGGAGTCGGCGTGAGGGCTGCTGGGAAGCAGAAGGAGCAGCTGTGTGGACAGAGCAAAACCCTTTAGCTCCAAGTCTCTTCTGCTCAGACATCTGAAAGCACGCCCCTCCTTCCGCTTATGGAGACTTGCCAGCCTAATGAGACCCTCTGTGGGAGCTGCAGGCCCCAGGGACAGAGGGGGCTCTGCTGCAGAGGAGAAGTGGCCACTGAGCGGGGCCTGAGGGCAGCAGGGGCCACAAGGTGGGAGGGAAGGGCATGCAGGAGAGGGGCAGCCTGCGATTTACACGTGGGCTCCGCTTGTTTAAAACACTGGAAGCCTGACAAAACACGTGACAGGCCAGCTTCGGCCCACAGCCCGAGAATCTGTTTTGCTCAAGGCTGAGACTCGCCCACTTTGCTTGATGGGTGGGTGCTACAGGATCCCTTGAAGTGGGAGGCGCTGGGACTGCCAGGTCCGAGGTTGTGTGGCTTTCCTGAGGAATGGTCCCCTGTTACCTGACCTTGGGCACATCAGTATCTGGGAGTGGAACCAGCCAGACCTGGGCCAGGAGGCAGCGGTGGAGGCTGCTGACCTTGGGCTTGCAGCAGGAAGACCTGCATGTCATCCTGGCCCACTCCCCAGCCCCAAACCCCCTCCCTTCCATCTCTGTACCCCTTGGTATTGGCCTCGAGCAGGGAAGTGCCAGGGAGACCCAGCAGCCTGGCGATGGGCACGGGCCTACAACTGCTCCCTAACATGTGAACATATCCTGTGGTGTACTGAGTGTGGTCCATGAAGGGTCAGGGGAAGCAGTGGACGGCGGTCACCTCCAGCCTCTGGAACTGCAGCTGAGCCAGGATTCCCCCTTCCATGGGGGATGCTCCTGTGCCAGATCCTGGACTCCTTGCCTGCCTCCTCTGAGTCCCGGCCCTGCTGCTGGGGTCTCCATGCTGCCAGAGGCACACAGAAAGAATTGGGGAAGGATAGACCCCCGAGTGTCCACAAAGTCCCACCCAGGCATGAGTGCCCACCTCATACAGTAGTCTGGGCTGTCTTCAGCCACTATAGTCCAGGCTCCTCTCTCGTTTATCTGAAGGAGGGCCTGGTGGCAAACAGACACCCCTTAGAGTGGACTGTGGGATTTCAAGGTTGGAAACCATGGCTGGCTATCTCTTATGGAGGGAACGAGGCTAGGCGGTTTACTGGGCTCCATGGGTCAGGGGCTATGTTGAGGGCCCCCCCGAGTCTCAAGTCCAGCCCAGCTGCCTCAGAGTCAACCCTCAGCAACACCAGGTAGGGACCGTGTTCGTGGGGCCCAGAGGTGCTGTTTCAGGCACAGCTGCTTCCTCCTAGGAGCCTCCTGGGATTTCTGTTAAAGGGTGGCCTGCCATTGCTGTGACCTCAAAGAGGGGACAGCAGGCAGCCCCACTCACACAGACCTTTGATGTTGCCCTTGCAGAATACTTTGATCTTGGGTTTTTTTCATCTGGCCTAAAAGAAAATAAACTGGATGAATATGTTTGCAGATATAAGTTGGACACCAACCCTGCCTTCAGTAAGTAGCCTCTTCGGTACCTCCATGTGACAGATTTCTCATGCCAGGCTGCCTTCTCCTCAGCCCGTCAAGTGTTCCAGGCCCTTGCTAACCATTTGCTGTGGACGCTGTGGGGACAGAGGCAGCGTGGACAAGCAGAGGAGGGACCTGGCTGGGAAGCCTGGCCACCTCCCCTTCACCTGCAAGTGGGAGGTCTCAACCCCCAGCGCCCCAGGAGTGTCTTAGAGCAGGGCTGTCCTCCTGCCGGGGCTGGATGTGGGGTGCAGGGTCTGCTCTCACAGCTTCATCCCCCTCACTTCTCTCAGCTCTCAGTTCCCTATAGATCCAAGGACCTAAACCCCGCAGGTCTGCTGGTGGGAAGTGGAGACAAGCCCCAGGGGTGAGGCTGTGCCAGGTGTACTGGTACCTCTCCCAGGAAGGTGTGTCCATTTGCACTGAGAGAGGGTGCCACCTGTCAGCCTGGGGCCTGGAATCCTGCCTAGGACACACGTTGCATGTGTGACCTTCACCCAGTGAGTATTCTGTTCTCAGCCTCTGCTTTCTCTGCAGTAAGTGGGGCCACAATGGTGGGTACACTAACTGAGCTCTGTCACATATGGAACCTGGTTTTGGAAATACTCAGGCACCAGGTGGACCCCCATGATGGCTGAGTGGCTTGGGGAAGCACAGAGCTGGGGCAGGCAGATGTGGTGCTCTCAGCGCTGAGGTGGGTGTGACCTTCCCCACGGAGCGCTGGGGAATGGTTGGACTGTCTGCCTCCTCCTCCATCCCCAGTTCGCCCTGGATCCCTTCAGTTCGTCTGATCCTATGTTATGTTCAGTGACTCCTTCCAGGGCCATCTTGGAAACCCGGAGAAACTCCTCTCCCCCTGCACACTTGTAGGCCATCTCTCCTTCTTTCCTTGGGTGCCTAGCATGGGGCAGGGCACTGTCAAGGCCACATCCTCTCCTGCAGAGTTGTGCAGACAGCCTGAGGGAATTAGGTTTCCCTTGGTCTGTACTTTCTCTGAGTCACTCCCTTGCATGGAGACTAATGTTTATCGGGCGCTGACTGCAGCAGGTACTGTGCTCAGTGCCTTATACACACCATCCCCATTAATTCTCCAAAGAGACCTATTGTGACCCCTTTGTCTGGATCTGGAGCCAGAGGCGGGGATGATTCAAGGGTTTGCCCGGGGCCATGAGCAAACCCTTCCTGGTGCAGGAAGAGCTGAAAGTAGCCATAGGTGACCCGAGTGCCCAGTCTGGCCTTCTGCCCTGTGAGAAGACGGTTCTCAGGAAGGTTGGACGCCCCCTGTCCCCAGGAAGTGTGTTCAGATGCTTCCTCTGTGGTCTCTGGCCATCCTGCTATCCCAGCGTGGAGAACACAGTGTTTCTGTCTGAGGTGGGCCAGGGACAGGCTCTCACATGGGAGAGCCCGTGCCACAGTCCTGGGCCCCCTGGTGACGGCCGTTCTGCTCCCAGTCAGAGGCTGACGGGGGAGGTCCCAGGGCTGTGTGTTGCCAGGAGCTCTGCTCCTCTGGGGAGGGGTCATTGGGTTGTTTCCAATTACATGTTACCCGGAATGACACATCCAGGAACACGTTTTAGGAAATAGAGAGAAGCATGAAGAAGAAAAATGTTTAAAGAGTTTTCAATATTTCACTCTTAATTAATCTGTTTTTATCATGCAATGTTTTTATAACTTGAGACATTTTCTAAAAGTGGCAACTGAAGTTTTGGGTTTAATCAGCTAATAATGGTTTGAAAACTCCTCTCCAGCCGCCATGCTTTGCGGGGCCCTCGGTGTGCCGGCTGCTGCCATCGCCTCCTTCCCCCTGCTCTGGCCTGTGAACACCCTACTGGACAATCATTGAATTTCTTTGTGGTTTTGCATCCCGCCCCTCAGACACAATCCTTTCCCCTAAGCATCCTTGGCGATCAGTGTCCATTCTCAACACCGGTGAAGGTCAGAGCGAATCTAGAGGTGGAGCCAGCCCAAGAGGAAATGAACGAGTCTGTAGGGAAGAGACCTGACCTGTGGTCAGTCCCGGCTCAGAAAGGACTTTGGGCTCAGGACTGAAGCTTCCACAGTTCTGAGTTATGGAAGTGTGTTGAGCCTGGTGAGTGCCACCTCCACAGAAAACCCAGAAAACAGGAAGCCCCCATTCCCTCCTCAGTGCCCCCATCTCAGTGGTACCACCATCCACCTGGTCACTCTGGCCAAAAGCCTGCGTGTCATCCTGGATTTGTCTTTGCTTTCACCCCCATGTCCAGTCCACCAGCAAGTCCTCTTGCCTCTGTGTCCAAAGTACAACCAGGTCTGGGCAGCCCCTGGATGGATTCACCCAAACCCCTCCCAGGGCCCACGAGGCCCGCCCACCTGTCCTCACTCACTCCTTTCCTCCTCAGCAAGCTCAGGTAGTCATGCCTCAGGGCCTTGGCACATGCCCTCCCACAGCCCAGAACACTCTTCCCTGGATGTCTCCCTGGCTTTCCCCTCATCTGGTTTCAGCTCCAGGAATGCCTCCTCAGAGAGACTTTACTTTTAATGGAAATTTTCAGTAATATGTGAAAGGAGCAAAAATTTGGCAATCAACTAGAAGCAGCCTCCACCTACTTTCAGTAGTTATCAACTTTGGCCAGTCTGGGTTTGTTGATACCCGCACCACTGGTTATTTTGAAGCAAATCCCAGACATCGCATCATTTCATGTATAAATTTCCAGTTTCTCTAAAATAGAAATTGCGTCTCTGAGAGGCAGACAGGTCCCCCGGCCCTGAACAGCTGTCCTTCCCCTTGTTCTCTGCCCCTTCCCTTGTCTAGGGACGTCACAGTACTCTTCACTCTGGCGTTCATTTGCTCGCTGTGAGTTATTTCATTGTGTGTGTCCCTCTCCAGTCCCTCAGATGTGAGGCCCTAGAGAGCAGGGACCCTGCCGGCCTGTTCCCGTTACACCCCAGAGCACCGCCCCGCGCCTGGTGCAGGGTGGGAGCGCGGAGATGTCGTTGGACAGAAGGAGGCAGAGAGGAGCTGGCGTCTGCCCAAGTGTTGGCCCTGCTTGCCAGGGGCAGGGAGAGGGGAGAGCGGGGTGGATGGATGGGTCCACTGACATTGTTCTCATGTGATTTTCTTTTAGGTAAAAAAGCCATCTCTATGACAAAAGAAAAATTAATTTGCCCAGGACACGTATTTGACAAACCCCAACAGTAAGTGCCCCGGGTCGGGGGCCACATGAGCCGTTTTTCCCACCATGATGAGCTGTCTAGAATGTGGGATGCTACCTTTGCTGGGACAGCACATGTCAGTCTCCGGGAGGGCTCAGGGCATCCACCATACCTGCCCTTGAGGTGCTCAGGGACCCACCGGGGCCCAGACTCTGCTGAGGCGGCAGCATGTGGGCAGTGATGGCCCCAGGGAGGGTACCTTTGCTCCAGGCAGCCTTTCAGAGATAAGACTCGGTTCTCTGTAAATACAGAAGAGTCAGGATAGTGACACCAAGCTGCCCTCTCTGGTCACTTGGCCCAAGGCTACAAGGGCATCTGACCGCATGCAGGGCTCCTCACTGTCTGGTCAGCCTTCATGGCAGAGCTTGACCTCAGAGTGCTTCTGGTGAGCTCTCCTTACACATGCGGTGTGCTCTCCGCTGATCAAATGCCTGATGTTCAAAGTCATTACAGTGACTCCTGTGGGCTACAGTTTGAGCCAAGTGCAAGAACTGTGTCTGTCTGGGCTGCTTGTCACTGTCTGCCCTTGCTGTGCTTTAGGAAGGTCATCGTTGATTACAGCCTGAACAATGGCACCAGCTTCATGGGCACAACATTGAAAATCATCAGCAAGGACTGTGTGAGTGTCAGGGTGGGGCTGCAGCCTCCCTCCTGGGCTGTCCAGAACCCCTGCACTGGAGGGAGAGACACCCTGGGGAGGCAGGCAAGGGCAACAATGACCCCGGGTAGGCCCAGCAAGTATCTTGTGCAGATAGGCACCTGGGGCAGCATTCCATAGTCAGCCCGGGCAGTTAGCCTTTCTGTGGGGATCCGTCCCCTCACTAAGGGTTGAGAAGGGCCCTGGGGGTGCTTCTACAAGAGCACCAGAGGGGCAGCCAGCTGACCAGGCCTTGCAGAACCTCTGCTCTCTGTGAACCAAGTGTCATAAAGGTGTGTGGAAGGGACCAATTAGAGCTCGACTCCAACTCCAGAGATGGTGCTAAGGCTCTACCAACCCTGTCTCCCACCTGCCACCTCCCTGGCCTGGGGCTAGTGGTGGGACATCATGGCTCCATCCTGGATTCCAGCTGGGGCAAGGGGGAGAGGCTGGAGGGTGTGTGCTAGGAGCCAGGTCCAGGACCTCTGGGGTTCCCGAGCCCTCCAAATCGGGGTCCCAGGCACAGGGGATCTGGAGGGTGGCACCCCCTGTGGCCATGCACAGCAGGATGTGTTTCCCCTGCATTGGTGCCCAAGCTGCTGGCACAGCTCCGAACCCACTCAGGACCATCACAGCCCTGCCCCAAGAGGCTGGGGGAGCAGCAGCTGTCATTTGGCTGATGTCTTCAGCCTCCCTCCTGCCTCTCCTCCTCTCTCCTGCTCCTCAGGGCCCCCTGTGCTAACACTCTCACCCCTGCAGGGAGGGTCTCTCCTCTGTTGGTGGAGAAGCAGTCAGGGCTGTGGGGTGGGCCCGGGCTCAGCTCAGGGAGAGGCACATGGGAAGGGGGGCTGCTCCCAGGAACCCACTTTTCCGAGCTTCTCGTCATCCAGGCACCTTAGCCGGGGGCAGCAGGCTTGGGTGACAGAGAGTCAGGCTGGAGGGGAGGTGTGCCTGGAGGAGGGACGCCTGCACCAGTGCCCACCCCGTGTCCAGGACCAGCTCGGGAGGGTGCCAGCAGGGCGGACAGTCGCCATCTGGTCTGTCTCTGCTTGTCCCTGATGTCCACACCCGGGCCGTCAGCTGCACTTCGGCCTGTGCCCATCAGGAGTGCCGCCCACGACAGCCGCCCTGCACAGGCACATGCAGGAGGAGCTCAGGAGCAGCCGCGGCTCCCCGTGGGCCTGGGCTTCGCCTCCCTCCAGTGCCCGTTTGTGTGCACGGCCCTCTCTTCCCGCTTCCCTCTCTGCCTCTCTGAGAGCAGAGCCCTGGTCGGGGCAGGGCTGTGCAGCATGCGATCCACGGGGGCAGTGCACTTTCCCGTGGTCGTGCAGACCAGGAGCAGAGCTCCCGTGTCTTAGGCCCCCACGTGGACCTGGCCTGACCCAGAACTCAGTGAATGCTCTCAGCCTCACCACTGCCTGCCCAGGGCCTCGTTACGGAGGTGGACAGAGGCTCAGAGAGACTGAGTCATCTTGCCCAGGGTTGCAGAGCCAGACAGTGGGGAGAGGCGATGGGAGCTGGACCCAGGGCTCCCGCCCCTGCTCTTGCACCCCCACCTCCATGGGCTCAGCAGCCGCTCCTCACCCATCGGGGTCTCTCTAGCCCTCTGTGGTCTTCACAACACTCCTGTACTGTCAGCAGAGGCATGCAGTGAGGCAGGGTTTGGTCACAGAATGGAAGGGTCCAGAAGACCTTAACAGGGCTCTGGGGCACAGACTCTCAGCAGAGACACTGGTGGGACCTGGCCCAGGGCTCCACAGTGGCTCTGTGGGTACCGGTCCTGCTGTGGTCCCTCAGGGAGAGACAACCCGAGGAGAACTGGGAGCTGGCAGACGAGTGTCTCTGGTGTGGGAAGCCAGGTGGTGGGTGCATGGGAAGAGGCCACCCAGAGCCACCCCAGGCCACTGCCCTGTGTGCTTTCTGCAGGGAGGGCCCACATTTGTCCCAAAGAAGGAGACCCCGGTGCCCACGACTGTCACAGAGAAGGAGACCCCAGTGCCCACCGTGGCCCCACCTGGCCTGAGCCCCGACAACCCTCTCTTCTTCCCTGTGCTCGTCCCAGCCGTGCTCATCATCCCTGTGCTGATCTGCTGCATCTGGTGCTGCAGGAGGGTGAGTGACCCCACCCCCACAGCCCTGGGGCCCAGGCCCACTCGAGCCCCCCCAGGGACCCAGACGCCCGCCTGCACCATGATCCTGCCTGTGGGCAGGTTCCCATCAGCTCCAGGGTCATCACATGAGCAGCAGAGGCACAGACTCTGTCCTCCATTCCTGGGCACAGACACAGCTGGGCTGGCTTCTCAGGAGCCTCCTGGCTCATGCTCGCTTCAGGGAGGTGGCCTCCAGCTGCCCTGGGCCTGGGGAGACGTGACCCCCAGCCCTGAGACCAGGACTGCCTCAGAGCAGCCAGGCTTCTGGAGGACTCAGGGGCACTGGAGGCCGGGAGAGGCCTCAGCTGTTAGTGAAGAAGAGGGGTCTGCAGGGGGCACAGATGGCCCCAAAGGGAGACTGATGCTGGCAGGGGGATTCGGAACCTTTGAAAGGCAACAGGGATGTTGCTCATCTCTAGTGCGTTCTGTCAGTCGTTCCTCAGTCATTACTAAGCAGCAGGATGTGCTGGGCCCCATGCTGGGTGCTGAGGGACAGAAGTGAAGCGGCCTCCCTCCTTGCCCGCAGGAGCTGACAGTCTAGAATCTGGTCCGGTTTAGTGCCTGGGGGTATTGAGGGTAAAATGTCAACCTTCATGGGGTGTGACAAGTGCCCTGTGTAGCCAGAGCAAGCGGGAAGGACAGAGACTTGCCTGGGGGAGGGAGGGAAGGCCGAGGCTCTGGCTAGCTGGCTTTGAGAGACACAGGCCAGAGAGCTGGAGGGAGAGAGGAAGCAGCAGAGGTGTGGAGGGGCTGAGCAACTAGCAAGAAGCAGGTCTGGATTCCCGCAAAGGGGAAGCAGTGAGGAGAGGACGCCCGGGGTGGGGGACTGTCATCCCTGAGGGCTGGGCAGCCAGGGAGGGCTGCAGGGCCTGGGGGGAAAGGGGGAGGACAGGACGGGGAGGGTTCTCTTGTTCATGTGATGTAAGGCTGCTGAGGGCAGGACCAGGCGGGTGTGTCCACCAGGGACCAGGCCCTTAGTGTGCTGTGTCCCCGTGACCCTTCAGGGAGGGCCCGATTATCCTTTGATAATCAGGGAGCCTGGGGCTCAGGAGCCTGGAGGCTGTTGACCACCCAGCACAGGCAGTGGACGCCCAGATGACTCCCCACAGCCCACGTTCTGTCCCTCTGCTGCAGAGCAGGAGCTTGGCCTGTCCTCACGGCTGAGCCAGAGCTCTCCACCTCCCTCCCAGCCTGGGTTTATGTCTCTTTAACCTTCTAGACCGTCAAGGAGCCACCACCAGTGCAGAAAGCAGAAAAGGTAGGTGGTGTTTGCTCCAGAAGCCATCAGCAGGCCTGATGCACACACTGACCTTCCCAGAGAGGCCTCCTTCAGCCTGTGGGGACATTTCCACTCACGCCCACCAGCTCCCGACTACCTGAGCACAGAGAGCTGGCAGAAAGAAGAGGGTGACAGAGGAGCAGGGAGGGGCTCTGGGGAGGATGTGGGACTCATGAAATGTCCCCCAGACAACACCCTTGCTGAGCCCCCAACCCAGCCTGATGCAGGGCCTTTGTCAGTGACTGAGGGACTCGAGATAGCCTGGTTCAGCAACTGCTAGGATCCCTGCTGAAATGCATGGGGCGTGTTGGCCAGTTCCCAACCACTGTCTGTGGGATGGGCCTTCCCAGGGTTCGGGGAGCCTCGGGAAGGGGGCTGTCAGGTTTCAGGGAGCTAGTCCCCTCCGGGTCTCCCAGATGTTGGCTCCTTTCAGTTGGTCTCCATTCCTGTGCCCTGGCTGGGTGAGCGGCTTTCTGGGGTTGGCCTTAGGGTCTGCAGGGCTGAGGAGGCTGAGTGAGTCTTAGCTGGCATTGAGCTGTGAGGGTGGCCCAGCCCAGGTGAGCACAGGGTCAAGGGTCACGGAATCAGGCTGTGGCTCTCCTGGGGTGGGGCAAGCCAGGCCTCTAGGAAGTAGTCAGAGCTGGGGCCCGGGGTCCCCAGGCAGCAGCCCTGCACCTGGGATCTGGCTGGCAACAGGTCCCATTGCCCTGGAGGCCTCTGCACTGGTTGTAGGGTGGGCTGGGTGGCTGGCTCTGCCCGAGGCAGGTGAATGGAGTCCTGTCTCCTGGAAATTGTCTCAGCCTGATGGCCCCTGTGATGTTGCTCGGCCTCACTCCAGGCTTCTCCAGCAGGGGTGGCCTCTGGAAACCAAGGGGAAGGACAGGATTGTTTGGCTGTGTGGGGAGAGACATTTTCACAAACCCAAAGGAGTTTGCTTGTTTTTCACATGGAGCCCGCCCTCCTGTGGTGCAGGATGCTGCTCATTTGTCCTTGAACTCTCCAACCAGCACTTGCTGAGTGGCCAGTGCTTGACAGGTGTTAGTGACCAGACATCATGTGTCTGCACCCCAGGAGCTGCCAGACATGAAGCCGACTCTATTTTCTCTTCCCAGGAGCCAGAGACATGCCCCACAGTGATTGTTCCTTGGTGTGGGTGCCAACAAGACAGGATAAGACGGATGGAGGTGAGAAGGGCTGCTAGGTAGGGCTGTGACCTCTGGGCTGGGGTGGGAGGAGAGGGCCCGCTGGTTCATGCTGCACAGGCCGGGCCCAAAGGCACGGCTTGGGTGGAGATGAGCTTTATGGGCGCTGGACTTTGATCACTTGGTGCCAGAGAAAAACCCACAGCCTCCTGGACCCTTGAGGCCAGGGACAGGCCAAAAGTATGTGGGCTCCTGCTCACACCACCACCAGGAGGGTCCTTGCTCTCGTCTCCCCCTTGGAAAGGACCCAAGTTTCTGCATGTTGGTGGCTGCCTCACAGCTGGCCAGTCCCTGGTTCTCTGAAATTGTCACCAGTTGCAGCAATGGCTTGGGCTTCACTGGCCACCAGGGAGATGAATGAAGACAAACTCTATCCCAAACAGGCCTGTGCAGGTTACAACACAAAGGAAAGCTCTGAGCCACATTCTCACCACCATTAAAACTGCCAGAAATGGCAGTGGCTCCTGCTGTCCTTGCAGACGTCCACCCAGCAGAGTGAGGCAGAGAGCCTCTGCATTGTCCTTGTGGCCCACTGAGATGGGGAGGCTACGTGGTGGAGTGGGGGCCCTGGAGGAAACGTCCTTCCCCAGGAAGTGTTCATCCCCACCCTGGTGCAGGAGAACCCAGCCCAGCAGGGGACGAGAGATGAGGGGGATGGAAAGGCCTGGGTGGCTGGTGGTGAGGAGGAAGGAAGCCCACAGTCTCTGCCCGGCTTTGCCCTCCTCCTCCCGGGTCCTGCCTCTGTCCCGGGTCGGATCCATTGCCTCCTCTTGGAGTCTGTGAAGGCAGCTGGAGAACCAGCCCTGCCCCTGTCCTGGCAGTCAGTTTAGGGCAGAGAAGCCCAAACACACCTTCCAGAGAGGGCAGAGATGCCTGCCAGGGGCTTGTTCTTGCTTCCAGGGCACAGTTCCCACCCCGCCAGGACCCAGAGTAGCCTGAACTGCAAGGCCATGCCCCCATGATGCCACCCGCCTCTGGGTCCAGGGCCACTTTCTGGTCTGTTCCCTGTCTACACTTCCTGCTCCCTCACCACCCCCTCCCCTGTGTAAGGAACCTGCCCCCAGCAGGGCATGGATCCTCTTCCTACCTTCTCCTGTGGCCCCCCAGATGAGGCCCTCATCCCCTCTTCTTTTGCCCCTGCCCGGGCCCCCTTGCCCACCTCATGTTTCACCTTCAAGACCCACCTTGGCCACCATGTCTCCTCCAACCTTTGAACTTTTCCTCTAAAAATCACTCCTGACTTGTCCTCTTGCACCAACAATGCTGATTTGTTCCAGATTCCCAAACAGTGTGGGTCCCTCCGTGACCACCCCCAGCCAAAACAAGCCAGGCACTAGACACCCTCCCCCAGCGGAGGCTGCAGTGCTGTGTCAGTGAGTACATGGAGACAGAGCCCTGGAAGCCCTTGGGAGCCACAGGGGCCACCACCCCTTGGAGACAGCATCCCCGCCTACAGCTTGGTGACAGCCACTTGTGCCTTTCAGGGTAAACTGGATACCTTGTGCAACTTTGTTCAAAGCTGCAACCAGGTGCCATTGATGTGGTGTCAGCCCAGAGACAAGGTAAGCCGAGGACAGGCTTGCTCCTCATGGGACAGGAGCCTTGCTTTTGCCCCGGACTATTGTGCTCTGGGACTGTGGGACCTTGCCCTCTCTCACTGAACGTGACGCTGACAGTAATGTCACTGTCCTCCACTGTGTATCATCTGAGTGCGTACCCTCACCCGAGGCCCTTGATGAACAGGATCTCATTTCATTCCCATAACAACAGCCACCCTTTGTCCAGAGTTTACAGGCGGCCACACTGTTCTGAGTACTAACACAAATGCATGCTCTGTGGCTCCCCAACACCTCTATGGGGGACGAAGCTGAGGCCCTACACAGTTAAGTCACCAGCCCAAAGTCACACAGCCATGGAGCAGTCGGGCCATGCAACAGCCTGGTGCCCGGCCCCTCCCCGTGTGCTTGGCTGCCCATCTGTCCTGCAAGGAGGTCGCTGTTCTGCATTTAGCACCTGTGGACACTGAGGCTCTGACGTTTAGAGAGGGGCTCAGCGTGACCGGCTTATGAGGGCTGTAGCAGGACTGTGAATGACCCCTGGGGAGGCTCCCTTCCAAGTCTGGCCTCCATGCCCCAACTCATGCTGTCCGGGTGATATGGAAACATCTGGAAAGTACTTCCTTCTGCTGTGCGGTGTGGTAGATGTGCAGACACTTGTGAATATGACTGTCTTCTTGTCTCACTGTGTTGCTTGCAGACCTCCTCTAACCATGAACTGATAGCTATCTGCCGGGAAGCCGTTGTTCTGGGTAATGCTTAGAGCTGGGTACAGATGGGCCTTGTGATGCATCATGGCCAAGGAGCTCCTGAGTCCCTGTGACCCTGCCCGTGGAGGGAGCTCAGCCAAGGGTGTGATAAAGCAGGGGGTGGCTTCACCCCTCCAGGAAGTCCTCACTCAGCAGCTGTCCTTCAGCCACTGATCTTTGGGGAAGTCTCCAATCATAACTTTGGGGTTGTGATGGCTGCCGGCTCCTCTGTGCTCCACAGTCGTCCCTGGTCCCTCACCCTGAACTCACACTCACACACCCTCACACTCTCACACACACACTTCCCCATGAAACGAGCAGGAAATCCAAACTGGAGCCGAAGCTCCAAAGCACTGGAGATCAAAGCTGGCAAGCAGCCATTTGCCAAGCGTTTCAAGAAGCGTCCCTCCACCGTGGAGAGGTTAGGCTGGTGCAGGAAATGATGGGGCGCTGGCTTAGCTCTCTGCCGTTGGTGGAAAGCCCAAGAGGAAGGAGACCCCCCACCAGCCACAGGCCCCTGCCCTCCCCCTCTTACGCTTACACCGCCAACTCGGGCTTTGCTGACAGCCAGGCGTTTCCCCTGCTGTCTGGAGCCCCTTGCTCCTCTCCATCGTCCACATGCAGACCCCCTGCAGCTCCCACAGAGGGGCTGTGGCCCGGGGAGGCGGGACGCCTCAGTGCAGTGTCCTGCAGTCGTGCTCCTGAGGAGATCAAAGGGTCCCACAGCTGTTGCTAGACACTCGGTCTAGACTAATCTGCTCACATTCTGGAGCCAATAAGCAGAAATAAGGATAAAGATTCCAGTCTGTTCTCAGTAGCACAAACAGCACACCCATGCCTGTGCGTAACACAAGTGTACTGACCTACAATGAAAAGAAGCTATGGTACTTTACTCATGCTATAAAAGAAGATGTGAAAACATGGAGACCTAGACTACAGTGTCAGCTTTTCCTGAAGGAATCCATGGGCTTAGTGATACTTTAGTCAAAATTGTAATGAACATTTTTAGGGAATTTGATTAAAATGAGTCCACACTTCACCTGAAAATTAAAAATCAGTGAAGAATAGTTAAGGAATTTTTAGAAAAGAAAAGCAATGCGAGAAGATTTACTTTTTCTTATACTAAAACATTAATGTCCAACAATTAAAAACAATTAATATAATGGGCAGATAAAATAATCGCCCTAAATCAACCGAACACTAGCCGGAAGAGATTGTGTAAATGAGGAGGTTGCCCATGGTGCAGATAATGTGTGTGTGCAGTGAGCTGGGGTCACCTTAAATATGTTTAATGATTGTCCAACATGATTTTTTAAGATTTGGCAAGCTTTTAGGGCAAAGCACACATTAAAGCTTTATTTCACAACATACTAAAATAAATTCCAAATAGTTTAAAAAGTTAGATAATTAAAAGCACTACTGTTAATAACTAGAATAAAATACAAGTAAATATTTGATTTCAGCATAGATGTCTATTTAAGCATTAAACCAGTGGAAGGAAATCACAAAGGAAAATATTCACAGATTGAACCATATCAATTAATTCAGCAAGAATTATTCCATGTCAGGTGTTGGGGAGACAGGGGTGAGCAAGAGGAAAAATGTCCCCCTATCACGATGGGCTTCCATTTCCTTTGGGGAATGTCGAGTCGTGACAAATGCTGTCTAGATAGTCAAAAGTTATGAATATGCCAACCAGTGCCTGCTTGGGCACAGTAGACTCTATGACAAGGTGGCACTGAAGCTGAGAACTAACTGATAAAAAGGAATTGGTGAAGTGAAAATCGAGAGAAGTTCTCCCAGAGGATTCTGGGAAGATTGCAGCATAGGAAGACTCTCAACTCACCATCTCCCATGGAGACAAAAAATCTGCAATGACTTGTGGAACAATTTCTTCTGAGAGAGATCTGGAAACTGGATAGAAAGAACCCCCACAACAAGGGACAACACTGACAGGGGTGGAACAGGCAGAAATACACCTCTGCTGAGGAAAAAAAGCACATTCTGGCTACAGCATGTCACAGCTGGGAGCTATCTCAAAGCTTTGACTCTTTTCTTAGAGGAGCAGGCGGATCTGATCGGGGGATCTATGCCATATCAGGTGTGCCACCCTGTTGAGTCAGCACAACCAAGGTGAGATCCTATAATAGCTGGCTTTGCTGGCTTTGCAAACCAACAAGGAATAGCCCCAGAAAATGTATCAAGCTTCAGAAAAAGGAAAAACTGCTCTTAAGGGCACATGCCAAGATTCACCCATTCAAAAAACCAACACAAAACCCCAGAAAGAAAAGTGCATAGTTCTTTGGTAAAAGATACTCACTTGCTAAAGCTCTGAGCACGTCTCAGAGAGGCTGGTGGTGGCTGGGCCCACCCCTCCAGAGTCTGAGATGCTGGTGGCAGCCATCATTGTGACCTAGTTCAGTCTTGCTCATACGGACACTGGAAGATGTCGTTGGTTTCCTTCCTCTAGCCTGTTAGCACAGGGGTTTGCCCCACCCACTAGAGCACCAATTCAATCAAGCACAGTGAGGCAGCCAGCAGCCTACCCCATGGACTTGCCCCACCCACCAGCAAGCCCACAGCAAATTTGTGGGCCCATGTAGGCAGGGTATGTGGGACCTCTGCAATGGGGTGAGTGGGTCTGCCTTGGCGGGGTGTGTAAGCCCATGACAATGGGGTATGTCAGCCATAGCAGACTCATGCCACAGGCCATCTCAAACAGCCACAAAGGGGATCTTCCCCAGCTTCCAGTGCCTGAAATGATTGTGGGCTGCTGTGCCTTGGCCTGGCCCCACCCATCTGTCCTCCTGAGAGAGTGAACAATATGTGTGAGCTGCATTGGAGCTCCTAAGCTCACAGTTGAGCCCCTGACCCTAGCAACCAGCCACACAGCGAGTCTGACTTGCTTAACTAAACAACCAGCTCTGTTGGGGCTTGCCACACCCAATAAAATGACCATAGCAGCCTCACACAGCTGAGCCTTACAAACAGCCAGCCACAGGGCCAGCCTAGCCTACCTGTGTGCTTGCAGCAAGAGCAACCACACCACACTAGAAGGGCACATGTCGCCTACATGGAAGAGACTCCTAGAACATTTGGAGAGGGAAGTACATTGCTGGGCCCCATAAGACATCTCTTTCATAAGGCCACATTTCCAAAATTGAGGACATAGCTGATCTACCTAGTACATAGATATAAGCACAGAGAAGTAGGCAAAATGAAGAGACAAAGGAATATGTTCCAAATAAGGGAACAGGACAAATCCTCAGAAAAAGAACTAAACAAAATAGAGATAAACAATCTATCTGATAAAGAGTCCAAAGTAATTCTCATATGGTTTCTCACTGATCTTGGGAGAAGAATAGATGAACACAGTGACAACTTCAACAAAGAGCTGGAAAATATAAAAAAAGAACCAATCAGAAATGAAGCATACAATACTGCAAATGAAAAATTCAGTAGAGGGAATCAGTAGCAGAGTAGATGACACAGAAGAACAGGTCAGTTCTCTGGATAAAAGAGTAGAGGAAATCACCCAAGATGAACAGAAAAAAGAATTAAGAATTCAAAAGAATGGAGACAGTGTAAGGGACCTCTGGGACAACATCAAGTGCAGTAACATCCATATTATAGGTGTCCCAGAAAGAGAAGAGGGAGACAATGGGACAGAGAACCTATTTGAAGAAATAATACCTGAAAATTTCTCTAACCTGAGGACAGAAGCAGACATCCAGGTACAGGAAGCACAGAGAATACCAAACGAGATGAACCCAATGAGACCCACACCAAGACGTTATAATTAAAATGTCAGGAAATGAAAGAGAGAATCCTAAAAGCTGCCAGAGAAAGGCAACAAGTTACCTTGGAAACCCCAGAAGGCTATCAGCTGACTTCTCAGCAGAAACCTTACAGGCTGGCTAGATGGGAGTAGCACAATATTTTCAAAGTGCAGAAAGGAAAAGACCTACAGCCAAGAATCCTCTACGCAGTAAGATTATCATTCAGGATGGGAGGAGAAAGAGTTTTCCAGACAAACAAAACCAAAGGAATTTTGCATCACTAAACTGGCCTTACAATAAATGTTAAAGACACTTATTTAAGTAGAAAAGACCAGACCATAAATAGGAGTAAGAAAATTATCAAAGAAAGAAATCACTGGTAAAGGCAAATATGCAGGAAGGTAGTGGATCAGCCACCTATAAAGCTAGTATGAAGTTCAAAAGACAGAAATACAAAAATAGCTATCTCTGTGATAAG